TGAAGAATAGATCTTCAGCAACCCTCGTTTGCCGTGAAAAGCGACTATGCTTGTCGTAAAAGGCTAGGCGACTAACGGGATCGGGTTGTCAGGCTCGCTGACTTGGTTGATGCATGTCATCGATCCCAATTGTGTGGATCGATGCTCATGATATTAATCTCTGGACTGTCTGGTCCAGACTCGATTATTTACAGACCGCCTTCATAGAGCTGGAATATTGCTGAGTGTGGCGTTAAACAACAAACCAACCAACTTTATGGTATTGGGTTTCCGTTGAAAGAAACGTGTCTCAATCAAGAATGGAGGGTATCTTTATAGGGTCAGGGTGCCCAAACACGGCTCCTCCAGTTATCGGTGAGCGGAGATTGTTTATAAAAAAAACCAGAATAAGTATCCTGTATTGGAACAGGTGCGAATTCACAGAGTACCTTATTTTTTTCATATCAAAATTCATATTTCATGAACAGATGAATCAAAGGTCTGACTCTTCCGTCTGCATGGGAGACACAAAAGCGACTTTCATCTGAGAAGATGACAAGCCTCCACTCACGATGACGCCAATTGTGATGACCCTGTGCCCACTGAAGTTGTGCTTGTCGATGCCGTGGTTGGAGAACAGGACGACGTGCTGGTCGGCGACATCTGAGGTTGTTGGAACGGAGACGCCGGATCACAGTGTCCTGGCTAATGTGTCGATTATGTGTTCCCATGGTCTGTCGAGCACTTTCACTTGCAGTTAGGAACGGATGTCGCTGGTGTTGACGGGTAATCTGCCGATCTTGTCGAGGTGTGGTGACCCTAGGACGACCGCTCCGAGGAAGGTCATCAGTGGTCTGTGTAGCATTGTATCGATGCAGGAGACGGTAAATTGTGGTTATGTTAACGTTGAAATGACAGGCAACATCCTGGACAGACTCGGGGCTTTCAAAATGCAACCAGAAATATTGATAACACCATCAGGCTTCACTACATGCAACAACTCGTATCAATTTATGGTTCCGTGTTTGTTACCTATTTGCTTGAAACCACTTGCGTTTCTTTTGCGTGTGAGTATATATATATATATATATATATATATATATATATATTTATATATATATATATATATAACAGTGTATAACAGTGTTATCAGCTTTACATTTCGAGTTTGAATGTAAATCTGTATATAATCCAGTATGATCAAACGTGATCACGAACTTCAAAAGAACTTTAGTGTCACCGTGCACTGGTAACCCAACCCAAAGTTCTGTTTTTTCCCCAAGACCACGTTTTAAACTTTTATTTTTAACCACTTGGTTTACGTGCATTCTTTTTAAAAAAACGATGTCGAAATGAAAATGAGAAATAAAATTTGGAAAAACATGTTTTAAGAGAAGTGTCGGGAAAATATCACAGAATGTAATATTATGGAAAGCGTCTTGGAACGACAGGTCAAAGGACTTCATATTGACTTACTTTCCTGTTTTTCTCAACTGACTCATACTCCTACCTTTACACACATCTGTGAATGTCGTCGGATGCGTAAATTAAATTATAATTTAAACTGAAATGACTCAATGACTATTGTGCATTAATTTTCTGTGCTAAACAATATCAATGCTTTCACTCATGGCCGAGAGCAAGGCAATTACCACGGTCCTTTTAAAGATTTCAGGGTATTTGGAATATTGGAGGGTTTCCTTAACAGATATTACTCAATCATCCTTACCTGGTCAATATAATTAGCGGCAAATGAACTTCTTTCAAAACAACAAAGACAATGATCGAAATACATGATCGGGTCCCTACAAGGGATCTCTTGAAGAATCATCAATAGCGTGCTTGCTATGTGCCGTTGAAAACACATAGTTGCATAAACTAAGTATCTGATGAGAACATTTACACTTTCAGACAGGTTTTTTCCTTACTAAGACTGTGGAAACACATATTTATCTGAATGTTTAAGCAAAGATGTATTGATTTAGAAATGCTGATTGGCATCAAAGAGTGGGTTCTTCAGGTTTTCTATGCCATCGTAGATCATAAACATCTTTGTTATCATATTTGTATAAAAACACAGACTACGGTGAGTGTGTGGTTGAAGTGGGTCATATTACTGTCTGTGTGCAGATGTTGCTCACTGTAATTTGCAGTTGTAAAAATAGCTGTGAAACATTACATGAATATATCAGTGATTCAGTGATCAGTTGACCCAAGGTGTGATAAACAGGTTATATGAATAACTTGTATCCTGTTGATGTAGGCCACATCGTTTTAACAGATAAAAGGTGCGTGACACTGTGTTAGCAAGTTGTATTACAGTTAAGCGGATTGTTACTGATTGATGGCATCAACACTGAAGTTGGCGGACACAGATTCAGTCTGTAAATAACTTATCCATGACGATATCTTGACGAATGTAAACGAGGTTTTCTACAACGGCACACACTCTCCGCGCGTCTATATATTGCAATCTATTGGTTATCGTACTGAGAATGTCAAACCACCCACTGTCATGAAACAAATGATAAAGCAGACAGATTCCAGATGTCAGAACGACTTACAAATCATTTTTCGCGTGCACATCTTGTCCAAAAGTTGACTGACAAGAATGTTCCACCAAATAAAAACACGCATATAACTGATTACAAGAATCGCCATTCTGTGAATAATAACTATCACATTTATAATCATCAGCACAAACAAATATCCAAATAATATTAGGAAGCATCCCATCAAGCAAATTGAACACAGTAACATCCTTGCTTGACTTCTTCCTGAAACTCTCATAGATGGCCCATGCATGGGTATCGCCAGGAAACAGCCGTCTAAAATCTGAACTTAGTCATTTTCTCTCTGTTAGCTGGTTATTTGATTGTGTAAATTTGATTTGGAATTTTGTTATACCTCCAGGTCCAGTGCCAGACAAACGACACCTGATTATTATGGAAAGCGACTGTGACATCGACTAAAATGTACTGTTGTGACCCATCCGCCCGAGTTCCACAAGTGAGAACAAAGCGTGGTTCGACTGACTAAAGTCGTGACACAATAAAATAAAACAGAAGGAATCGGTATTGTTGTGATTCAGTTATACAGTTTCAATCATGCTACAACATATTTCTAGCTCGGCGATTGATTTTACCGAAAGAGGTTATTGGGTCATTTCCTTTGTTTCACGTTGCCAAAGAATGGATGTATCTCTGTGCATAATATACCATAAGACGTCAATAATTTGGCTGTATTTATTTCTAAATGGGGAAGACTTTAAGGGCAAAATGTTAAATAGCGGTCACAACTCCATTTTTTTTTTGTAATATGGGGAACATCAACCTCGTTCCGTTAATCGTTATTTGCCGAGCCTTCACCGCGGCACAAAGCGCAACAGGGTGCACGGGTGGCCCAGTCGTCTAAGGCGCCGCGATTCGATGTGCAGAATTGCATCCCTTGGGCACGCCAGAAACCTATGATTGTGGGTTCGAATCCCGGTTCGCTCCGATTATGTCTCTAGGTTTGTCAGCACCACACCCGTGCTCGTGGGTTTCACCGAAGTGGTAAACGTCTTAGACCTGTATCACTACGGGCTTTCCTCCCTCATTAAGCTGACTCGCCGTGATATAACTGGAATAATGTTAAAAGCGGCGTTAACCCCAACTCACTCACTCAAAGCGCAACACATCACTTGGTTCATATTTCCCATGTGAAAAGAAACACGAGTGGTGGATCCTCTGTATATGAAGATGACGTCACGAGCTAACAGTGATGACGTCATATGTATACTGAGAGCTTCTCGCCATGGTTCCCTTTAGTAGACGCCGCTATTTTATTTCAGAGCATTTATTTCATGTGTGTACATTTTTATCACAATAACCTAACAGAATTATCACTCGGTCGACAAATGTTTCTAGGTCTTATGTTCAACGGATTTCATTGGAACATCATCTTTAATACAAGACTATGTCGCAAAAAGAAACACATATAACCAACATAATATTATGCAATCCATGGATTGCATAGTTTATTAAAATTACACTCCTATTTAAATTAATAACGATGCGGACCCACCACTCAATACGTTGGTTTTTGTGTGTGTTTTTTTAGGCAGGACATTGTTTTTATCACTGCTTCGAAACACGCAATGTTTAAGTCAAAGAAGGATCGGATTTATTCAATTGTTTTTCACAGCATATTTCTTTTCACGAACATTATAAGACGGCGGTACGGCTCGAGGACATATTATTTTTTCCAGTTTTTTTATAGTACAAATTATTGTTTTAAAAAGCATCCCGAGAAGGTCGTTATGGCTATATCAGGATCGCAGAAATCATAACCATTAACCTGTCAAAACTATGCGGGTGCTCGTTGCTTTCCTTGCACATTAGGCTCACATCTCATGTTAAAACTGAAATCCTCGTCATGCTTCAAGATATTGGTATACATTTATATGACAACTCCGCTGAACCAATGTTTCGAATCTAATCATTTCTTAATTTTCGAATTTAAGGAGTTTTCAGGGGAACACTATCAATGAAGGCCTCAAAATCTACCTCAAAGGTAAACTCGACAAGAAGAATACTGAAACCTTTCATGAATATCCTCTTAACTTCATTTTAGAAAATGTATATACCAAATAACATTAATGTTGCATATTGGTCTGATATATTACTCCTTATGCCACAGTACATCCTATATCCACAATAATATTTGTAGAGAACAATCATATGTCATGGGGTATTAATGAATGCTTCGATACACGTACATCAATCACGTAATGAAGCCTGACAAACACAAGAAGCCGCCTTGAGAATTAAGATGAAGTATAATGTATAGGGGTACATGCATAATTCGATAATGTTCAAAATGAACATGAAACTGAGATGTTTAACTGTATTTGTACACATCTCACATCGTAAAATGACAATCATTGCGTGACAGTGACAGATATGGCATAACAGACAAATATGTTCACACCCTTACAGGCAAACAATGACCATTGGTCTTCAAATACTTAACATCTCATAATGTACGTAGCATACGCTATAAGTAAGCCAGTAGCATCTCCGACATTCATATCAAACAGTGACAGCAGAGATCAAGTAGAGACACAGTTCAGCGCCTGCACAGAACAACAGAAAATCATGAGCTCCGCCAAAGTGACCGTCTTGTTCCTGATCGCCATCAGTAAGTATTAAAACATATCGGAGTTAACTATTTCTATGTTCAAGCTGGCGTCCGTTTCATTTTGTTTTGTGCTGAATACGCAGTTGTGTTGCTTATTGTAGTAGAAACCCCCCTTCAGTCATCAACTGAACACAACTTTATCTTGCATTCAATATCATGGTATGTCCTTTATAAAATGGGAATCTGACAATAGGTGACATTCCGCAAACGTTGCATGTATATGTACCGGATCATGGATGATAAGGTTCTAGATCTAAGGAATTCTGTTGTTGCTTATACATTGAAAATGAGTATGTCGCAACAACATAAGCATTTCTCCTGCAGGATAATCCAACGTGATATTTTACTTTAATTGTGTTTTATCACACGTGTCACACTCCATCATTATTACTCAAATCTTTTTTCAGGCATCGCATGTTCCTTTGCAAGTAACAAAAGAGGTAAGCATATTTACGCTGCTACATATTTGATCAAATTAAAACTGAGACGGCAAACGTATTTTTGTTTTATGTTAGCATTATGAACTGACACGTTTGTCAAACCGTTTTTGTGTCACAATTGCGAACTATTATAATTAACTGCTATGAAATTAAGCCAGTAGCTTTGTCTTGTTTTTTTTCTATTGCTGTAGCCATGTTATTGATATCTTTGTAACTAGCTCTAATATTTGGTATCTTTGTTACAGATGATAGATCAGCATCCACATCTACATCAACGTCCTCGTCTACAGAGTCAGTAGGTTCGTAGCTAACAATGTTAACTTAGCCAGTGTCAGCTTGTCCTTCAACGGCACAGACGCGATTACGTTTGATCGTGGGACTACCGTTGACAGAATTTAGTTTGGTTTCATAATACAAATAAGGATTTTAATAACTTTCACATGGAAATACTTATCCAATATAGCTGTCAACGGAATCCCTTTTTCCATTGCTTCTATCTCGGTGAAGAAAATCTATGGATTTGAATAAGTGTGTTATTATTGTTATCATTACTAGTCAAACATTCATAATTATGCGTACTTATATTGAATTTATCTGGAACGGGTTTTTGTACATCTTTGTAATGATCAAATCCCGACATATTTGGTTACGAGCAACAACCATGATGGTTGTTAACGCTACAGTCAACAATACCCCAACAATACCCCAGATATATGTATATAATGGCGGCATGTTAATAACTGAATCTGACCAGACAAGTTATTGCTTGACACGGGACACAATGAGACGCTATGAGCCAAGTCACTGAACATGAACAAGTCAGTGTTAACAGTCATGCAACAGACGAGTAACATTATTATTATTAGAAAGATGACTAGTCAAATACTCGTAATAATGCGTAATTATGGTGAATCTATCTGCAACTGGTTTTAGTGCAGTTTGAATGATCAAATCCAGACACAGGCCATGGTTTGGCTCCCTAATGCCGACCCTAAAGCTCCTGAAAGGAATTTTACATGAACGATTAGGTCTATTTAATGTCTGTTACAGGTCGTAGATCAGCATCAACATCAACATCAACATCAACATCAACATCAACATCATCGTCTTCATCTTCGTCTTCTGAAGGTAATTCGTTGTTAACCGATTGCGCATTGCCATCATACGTTATCATTGTTAACACAGAGACGCTGGAAATGATTGGGAGCTGTCAAAGCAAAGCGGGAGGCTCTTGGCCAATGTGATATTGCCAATTGCTCATGTGTTGATGATTGTATAGAAGACACTACATTTTATAGAACATGACTGCATGTGCAAATCAAGGACATCATGTAGTTCAACTGAGGAAGTGTTGGCGGGATAGTTCATGTCTATACACATAATGTAATGAATCTCGTTCTCTCTAATTTTCTGAGCCGCGAAAAACGCAAAATTTCGGATGCGGCCTAAAACAATGATTAATCACTCATTCTGTGTTTTATGTCATTTCCTAACTAGGGATGTTACAGATGTAATAGATATGTATCATGGAATAGTAATTTTATAACAAGTAATTGCCAGTTTACATCATGGAATAGTAATTTTATTACAAGTTTTTATACCAGTTTATATCATGTGATAGGAATTGTATAGCATGAATATGTTGTATTACAGGTTCTGGTGACCCTGGGCTACAAGGACTAATTGAAGGCTTCGGTAAGCATGAGCCTCTGGCCTCCGACGTGAATTAAATATTGTTTCATTTGTTTTCAAATTCTACCTCATATATTTTTTATCACATGACAGTTTAATGGCACATGAGCTCAGACTGAGTGAAGATACCCATAAAATCTTTATATGTACCCTCGTTCGTTCGTATTTTATTTTATGATGCATCAGTTCAATGTTGTTACTTTTTCAGCCCAAGAATGCGTAGGAGGTAAGGTTCCCGACACCTTTCATCAATTAGAACTTTGTTTTTCCAAATTACCAGGGTAGGATACGGCGCCAAGTAACAATAAGATTAACAGAAGATTTTGACAGCTACAAAATTGTTCTCAAATTTGGTGAAAGAAAATGAATCCACTCAAAATGAGTAAACAGCTGTGAATGAAATATAAAACAATAATTTGTAAATCACACCTATTTCCAGTCTTGCTGACCCTTGTAATTAATGTGTTCACAATATAACATAGCTCAACCCACACTTAGAAGGCACACATAATGTTTGGCACAACTGCCTCATCCACATCTTTCAAAACCGTGGGATCATGTGTCACTCTATATCAAGGACTGTTTCTCTCTTTTTACATAAGATGCCTGTGTCCCCTTGGACGGTGTAGCAGTCGAGGTCGATCCTCCTGTTATCGGTGAGTGTAAAGATCCTGTTATAAAAGAAACGGAAAATTCATCCTATTTTCATATGAAAATCATTGAACATTTGACTCAGATAAAAACAAAATGCAACCTACCTTGCCAAAAAATCAGTAAAACAATTGTTACAGTTTAATATAGAACACAGAAGAATATCATATAGAACCTTGTAACTGTGATTGCACTTTATTAGTGAACCAAACGTTTTATTTTAAATTACTTAGTTTACGAAATTGCTAACATATAGTTTTACAAATTGAGATAAAAGTAAATGTTTAAGATAAGCCTTTTATTTATTCCAGTTAGAATGAAAACAAATAAGATTATATGAAGCAATTAAATCCTTTGACTCCTCATTCAATGTTACTTTCAATTTCTTTTGTTTTCATCTCAACGTACAATTCCATTTATATATTACTTAAAAGAAGTCTTACCAGTTGTGACATAGGTATTTTGACAACCACAATAGCCTTAAACCAAGTTGTTGATAATGGCCTCAATATAATGTTTTATCATTGTATTGTTTTAGATGCTGGCGAGCCTGCTCAGTAACCTTACTGAATGTTTGAAGCATGGTCCTTTTGAACACCCGGTACTTCAGTCTGGTGTTACCGGTGAACTATTACACTGTTCAAGAGCGTGACCACGTTTGAGTTGGGACAACATGAGTGTGTATCATGGTCCAAGAATAAAGTCGATGTCAAAAATTCTTTGTATGTTGTTGTCTGTTGATAAAAGATTGATTGAGTTAATAAATGGGATTTTCAGTCTTTAGTCAGTACTACCAAGCACCTTCAATATGTACCAGAGTATTAATACAATATGTGTGGTATATAATGTATAGAAAATGGAATACATTTATTTTATTTTATAGATAATAAAAGAAATGCCATTATGATATAAGATGTTATTGATTAATATGAGCAAGTGCAATCTTTAATATGACTTAATTGAAGTTTAACTTAAATTAAGTGCTGACTTAATTTTAATATTTTAAGTTGCGCATTTCGGCTGTTATTACCTGGCCCAATTTGCATAAACACCCATCACCATGCACGCTGCCTAACTTTGCTTACATTCCGTCTCAAATAAATTCCAAGTAAGTATTTTGATAATCACAATAGTTATTCCCCTGCTAAATAATGCTGTGTTGTGATCTTGTACATAGGTGTTTTGCATTGTCGCAGGATAGTTTAGTTTTTGTTATAAAGTTATACTTTTCTGAACCGCCAAGTCAAGTTTCCTAAACTACGTAAGCGGTATTTGTATGTTTACGAGTTGATTGATAATGGCAAACACTGTAAGATACTGCTTCTGTGTTGTTATTGGTATAAGTAGATATCAGCACAAGTTAACTGCACCATGTAAGACATAAAACTGACCAGCGTACATGTTTTATGACCAGCGTACTGCTGTGTTGCCGTTAAATGAGGCACACAGCTAAGTACATCGAGTGGATGACACCTCGTGCGTGATGTTCAGCTATCATGATTAGAGTTAAATGTCTGTAGCAAGATGGCATTTACTTTTCGTGACTGAATGTTGATGTATATAATCAAGATAGCATCCTTAAGTCAGTATATCTCTAGTCGTGGTTGTATTGTCGGGTACTTTATTGAAGCTATAGGCCTAAACTTTCATGTAGATGAATAGTAGCAGCAGAGGTAAAAGGTCAGATGTCACAGAGGTTATGCTCTGTATCAATATTGTGCAAGCCATTTAACTAATATGTAATGTTGATTGCCATTAACTAGCTGCTACTTTGAGAGGAAAGAATTGTCTTTGTTATTTGTGTTATATAGTTTTGCTGTACCAGATGTGTTATAGGTTATGGCTTTATGCTCTATTTCAATATTTAGCAGGCTATTGTAACCCGTAATGTAATTTTTACTGGTAGTATCATGATTATGTAGCTGGAACTTTAAATTGTGTTGTCATTAGTAATGAATAGTGTAGCTACACCAGAGGTCATGTAGCCTAATACACTATGGTCTGTTTCAACTTAATGTAGGACTGCCTAACCATTATACACTATTACAGTATTGTTATGATTGAATCAAGTTGATACTTTCAGATATGGTTTGTTGTGTCAGTATTGTTACTTCAGGGAAATAACGGTAGCATCAGTGATACATATATCAGTATTATTGTATTTTGAGTATCACAGAGCACTATGTCAGAATTTATTTGTGTTTTCAGGTTTTCTAGTCAAGGGCAGGCTCAGTGTACTGCCGCCCTTACCTAACCCTGTGATTACCCAACCTTTCTTGTCTTTATTCTACGAATAAACAGACATTAATTGGAAGTGATGTGTGTGTGTTCTAACTATAAGGTGGACCTGGGTACGTTAAGAATAATTGTAAATAAATAGGTTTTATTTACATCGGAAGAGATATAGAACAACAAATAGAAGCTGCTGACCCAATGCACTCAGCATTATTCGAGCTATATGACGGCGACAAGAATCGAATCTGGACCAGACAATCCAGTCATCGATATTGTGAGCAACAGTCCAAGACGTCAAGTTAAGAGGACACGCCATCAAACAAGCTACCGAATGATCCATTTGGTCGCCTTATACGACCAGCATAGGTTGCTTGGGACCAATTCCTACCCGAGTTGTGTAATCGTGAAGTATGTCATAAAGAGCACTCTTTTGTCTTATCCCGCATGCTGGGAAAACTCGGTGGTTTTCCCATTTGCAGTGGTATGAAAGTAATTACCAAGCGCTGCTTATCCGACAACAAGGCATAAATTATCAATGAAATGGAAAGTCAGCAATATGATGGCTTTTCTCTGCTTTTGTCGAGTCTGGACCAGCATAAGATGCCAATAATTCGGATGTATTTGTTTAAAAAGGGAAGGTTTTCCTGGCGTAATGTAAAATAGCGTTACCAGTCGTATTTTGGTATTTTGGGAAATATCAACATCATTCTCTTAATCGGTACAAGCCAAAAGCGAAAGGAAAACTTGGTGTTTTGCATGATATTAAAGCGAGTGCCCACCTACCTGAGGGAGATGGGCAATGTTGAATGTATAAGACACAACCGTCGATTTAATGGAGGTTCTAAAGGGCTACCAAAAATTAGAAAAGAGATAATACTATTAAAGTCCCAAATGTCAGAACAAGGCCAAACCAAATTTAGCTATGTGCCGACTTGCGTTGCCAAACATAATTGCTACTAGACAATTTATTAATGCCCAATAAACAGAAACGCTGTGGGTCTAAATGGGAGCGAACGCCGCCAGCTATGTGGCAAATTGCGTTGCCAAATTTCTAGTTTCTATTTTACCGAATGAAAACAGGGGAAAGACTGGGTTCCAACTGGTAAGACGGTAACCCAGTCTGGGTTCCCGCTGGAAGGCAGGTAACCGGAAACCCTATTTAGTATATATATTAGTGTATATTATAATATAGGAGGTAGCCCAGAAGAACCGTGCTACTCCACGACATGTTTTATTCACATTGATAAGATATGTACAATATTCTGGATTGATAGATATGAACAAATTGTTGTGCCTGGTACCTGTAATGGACAATATAAGGTGATGTATAATTGAATTGAGATGGATGGAGGCAAACAGGGCGGGTGGATGGGATAATGCGATAATGCGATGTGAGACGCAATGAAAGGCTGTGAAAAGTTGATGACTAGAGACAGTGACGTCATTCAAGAAGCAGTGATGACGTGACCACGAGATGGTTACGTAACTTCCGAGGAGACGAGCGTGCAATTGAGCAACAGTAGTAGGTTTGTTTGTATGTTTGTTTGTTGTTTTACGCCGCACTCAGCAATATTCCAGCTATATGACGGCGGTCTGTAAATAATGGAGTCTTGACCATGCAATCCATTGATTGACATGAAGTCACAATCGGTGATGACGTCACGAGCTATCAGTGATGACGTCATATGTATACTGCGAGCTTCTCAACACGGTTCTCTTTAGAAGACGCCGCTATTCCATTTCAGCTGTTTTCAATGGCATAAAATGAAGAGAGTATTACGTTCACGTGTGTTCATTTTTATCATAATAACCTAATAGAATTATCGCTCGGTGGACCCAATCATGATAATTACTCGTTCCGTACAATTCATGTTATAAGCAAATGTTTCTGGGTCTTATTTACAACAAATTTCATTGGAACATCATCTTTAATACAAGACTATAACGCAAACAGAAACACATATAACCAATATAATTTTATTAAAGTTCATTTAAATTACATTCCTATTTGATTAATATCTCAAACGCTGAGTATCCACAACTTAATATATTTGTTTATATCACCGCTTCGAAACACGCATTTTCTCTGGGAAAGAGGGATTGGATTGTTTTTTTAAAATACTATTATTTTTTTCTATTTTTTTCTTGAACAAGTTATTGTTTTAAAAAGCACCCCGAGAAGGTCGTTATAGCTATATCAGGATCGCAGAAATCATGACCATTAACCTGTCAAAACTATGCCCTTGCTTGTTGCTTTCCTTGCACATTAAGCTTACGTATCATGTCAAAGTTAACAAAAATTCTTGTCAAAGCCGAGTGCATCTCACTCACTCACCCTCTCTAGATTCTCTTTACAACATTTTGTTTACGCTGATATTCACAGAGATAGCCGACTCACAATAGAGATTATTTATGGCATTAATAATAACACACAGACAGCAGTTTCTATATGCTGAGCCATCAACCCTGGCTTCAGAAAAAATAGATGTGAACTTTGCCCTATATGTAGATCGAACATGTGGCATTTGAACCAATTGGTGTCATATTCATCAATCTCTTGGAGATGAATGCTGTAATATTATATTAAAAACGTTACCCGTGCCTTTCACCTGAAGAGAACCTTTAACTCTATCGTTTTCTTATTTTCGTACAATGACCTTAAATTTTGCATATCGTGGGTTGAAAATCCCAGATTTTATAACTACAAATACAATGTACAAGCGAAAACAACATTTCCACAATGGTAAGAAATATGTCCATTGTACGATACCGACTATATCATAAACACGTGTTTATAGATCGCTCTCAAAGTAATGATACTATCAGGTGTTCGTGAAAAGACCCACTGTTGGCAAACGTTACAAACAAATGCAAGGGCTAACCAATTGTTAGCCTGACAGTACACGGGGCCAGTGGGTCAAGTCCAAATAGGGAATTGTTTCGGATTTTATTTTTGTCACCGATGAGTGAAGTTTGATTAAACAGCTACTGAGCAAGAGTCGTTTGACGCTCGCCGTAGAAAGAGCATGCTCAAATGTCCAATCAACAGTAGTTAAATATATGACTCAAGACCGAAGCTGCTGGAATATTGCTCGGCATGAACGGAAAGTGAACTATAGGAATGTTGAAGTCGTCCATCTTTTCATTCAGTCCTGTGGAGAGTGTATATGTCATTATCATGCTGACTTCTTGCCTACATATATTATCCCCTGATTTCACATAGAGATTAAATGTTTCAAATGTGAAACGCTCCTTCATTGTAAGTGAATAAAATATAATGAAACTACATACTTCAAAATATCAGTATACATTTATATGACACAATTACGCTAAAGCTATGTTTCGAATCTAATCATTCCTTCGGACACAATTATCAATTGTAATTTGTGAATTTAAGGAGTTTTCAGGGGAAAACTATCAATCAATACGTTCAACTCAACTTCAAAGTTAACTCGACAAGAAGAAAAA